CCCTGTCAGGACCAGAGGTGGCTCTTCGATCTGCCCAGATTCACAGCCCCATCTGCAAGGCTCTCCTGAACACCCTGCCACATCCCGCAGAGCCGCTGTGGTCGTGCTCTTCCTCACAGTACGAAAACATGACCAGGAGGGGAAAGGGCTGAGTCAGCTCTGCTGGCGTGTTGCTGCCTTCATAGCAACACTGGGGAAGGTCTCCCAGCATCCCACAGCTACCACCACATATTTGTTTTGTAACCGGAGCTCCCAGCCTGACGAGCAGTACAGCATCCCAGCTGGCCAGGGTCATGGCTGAGGAGGGGACTTGGCAGCCGATGGGGAGGCGGACGGCAGGCACCAGCGCGAGCACAGCCAGGCAGGCCGCCCAGACCCAGGCAGCCCTTCACGGCGGGCTCTGCTGCCCACAGGGCTGCTTGCACGGCATGGACAGAGGCTGGCTACGCTGCTTGGCAGTAACGATTGCCCCCAGCAGGCAGTGTCCTGATTTTGGAAGGGGCAACTAAGCTTATTCTTTTAGAATTAATTCAGGCCTCTTAATCAGCGCCCTAAAGAGCATTTGTCACTATTAATGTGTGGTAACAGGAATATTTTGTAGATCGAGGTCCATTTTTCAGATTAAATTGCATTCAGTGGCCTATTTAAAAATAATATTAATAGTAAATTGAATATTTGGTTTATAACCAAGCACACATCTTCCCCACCCAACACACCAACATTCCGTTCCCTCCCCAAAAAGCCGAAATCATCATTTTATAAAAACACCTGTGTACATATACAAGTCCAGGGGCCTAATCCTATTCGGCTCCCAGCTTGGTTAGACCGCCTGCCCTCTAGTCCCATCCCCAGCATTACCAAAAGCCATCTGACAGCTGCTTTCTCTACCTGGGACTACTTGGAAGTTCACAGTTTGTACCCCATTTGCTCACACTGCAATCTTCTTTCTCTCGTTTCTCCTACTTACCAAAAGTGTAAGTAATCACAGGGAAAAAAATAAGAAAACATACCTCAACTGTGTTATTTATTGCCTTCTGAAAAAAAGTGTTCTTCTTTTTCTCGTGGTTCATTAGCTGACAATAAAACTGTCAGAAAAGTCATCTATTTTGTTCAAGCAAATTGTCTTGTTTTATAGATCTTTTATTTCTGACTCAGTTATTCCTGAGTAATTATGAGGACAGTCTAATAAACTCATCCTCCTTTTCTTCCAGAAAAAAAAAACATTGCCATAGAGGATTCTTACTTGTTTTGACAGCAGAACAAAGCAATCTGAAATCTTCCATTTGAAAAGGAATATGTTTGAACATTCTTTCCAATTTCTATTCTGGCAAACTATCATTTTCTCTATTTTCCACATAGTTAACTAATTTTGTTTTCTGTGCTTCAGTGATATCAGAGATCCCTTTTCTCTAAATTATAGAGAATTTCACTTAAGTTTGTTCCATTCTTCCCCCTTTTTCTCTTTGATGGTCAAGAGAAATGGTCAGCACCTGTAGTCTTAAAAAATACTTTTATTTCATACAAAAAAGTTTGGGGGAATACATGATCCAGTAGTCTTTTTCTCTAGAAATGTGCCTGATTCCGCATCTGCTTTTTTTTATTCAAAATTTATTATGACTTGGGTCATCTATATTTCCCCTGCTCTGCATCATCATAATGTGCCAAATAATCCAGTAACTGAACAGCCCTAGGAAAATGTGGATGATGCGCACATCACCCACAGAAAGGAAATGTGGAAAAGCAAGCAAACTGCTTTATATAGTAATAATAAACTCTAGAGCAACGTAAGTTGAAGAGAAATTTAATGGGATCTGTCTTTATGCTTCCTAATTCCAATTCAGCAAAGCATTTAAATGCTTTTGCACTTAATTTCTTTGAGGAATCATGGTTCTACTGCATTAATTCCCATGTTTCGAAGAATGTATTATCAACATGCTGTAAAGACAAAAATTCAGTTGCATATATTTTAATACACTTATAATGTTATAACACTAATTTTTTCTATTTGCATTGTGATTTTATTACAGTACAATGTTTATGGGATGTAAATTATTTCATTTCAATATCTACAATTGCAACTTTTAAATTTGTTGAGTTTTGCCTTTTTTTAATGCTGCCAATCTGAAATAATGTTGTTGTCTTCATTGGAGTTGGTTCAGCTATTATTTGGAGAAAAAAATCTAGCCCTGTAACTACCATTCTGTGATTTCACACATATTACTTTTTTTTAATATGTATTCTGTTGATAAATCAAGAATCCTTTACCACAATAAAACAGTAATTATGAACAGATAGCAAACTCTTAATCCCATACCTTTCATTAATACAAAGAAACCTAGTAAAAATCATCTACTGAAAAAGGGGTGTCTGCTGACACAGCCTTAATACACACTTTCAGGTTTCTGTCAGATCTGTCTTGTGTTGAATACGTCTTGGTTTAAAAAAGAAGAAAACATTTGAAACAAATGTTGAAAACATTCATAAGCCTGTTTTAATTTTTTTTTCCAAAAGGACGACTAAGTTCAATGCTGTATGAAACAAACCTTAAAAAAAGACTGCAAGGCAGCTTAAACTTTGTTCAGGGGTTAAATAAATTACATGGGTCAAAAAAATCACCTGAACTTTGTTCATGTCTAATTGCTTCTTTACTTTTTTTTTTTGGTATTTGCTTTGGCTAAATGAATAAAGATGTCAGTACTCTTCCAAAAGTAAAGCAAATACAGGGAATATTAATAGTCAGCTATGAAGTCATATTCCTTGATGAACATTAGCATTACTATTTCAAAAAATACAGATCCACTGTGTAAAAAAAAAAAAAAAAAAAAAAAAAAGGGACTTAAAAAACCTTTTTTTTACTTTTTGTTTCG